ACATATGTGCGTTTGTTGCTACGACTTCCTTTAAAGCGCACGCCCAGACGCAACAAATTTAATACGATCGATCTGATATCAGGCTTGATCATGCTCACCACAAATTCAATTTACTCCGACTTTTATTGCCGCAACGCATTCATATTTAAATTTGTCCCCGATCATTTAAATATATACAAATGGCTGCAAACGACTATTGAATGAATATCATATGTATGATATGTATGTATAGGCATATATGTATGTAAATATAAATTATGAAGAGAGATACACAAAGCTGTCTTCGCACATCTAAGTCTGCCTTTTTGTGGTTTCACTAATTTAAGATCGAAGATAGGAAGGTGGTGGTCGGATGAAATAAATGTGCTGTGGTAGAAATATGGCTTTTAGTAGAGGTATGCACCGCGACCTATAGTATATTGTATAAATATATATGTACTGTTATAGAGAGATGATACCTCTTACGAATATTACGAAAAAATATATTTTCTACGCTTTAGGCCTTTTCAAATCAAAGCTTTCAGTATAGGTCCAAAATTGCCTCTAACACCCCTTAATTTTTAACTCACAGTTTGTTTGCGAATGCAATGAAAAATTAATAACAATAAAACAAACTTACATCGCTTTAAGCTGCTCATTTTATTACACATGCTGTGCGCACACGCTGCACACACCGAACTGGCTTTGCACACACACGCTCGAACACATACGAACGCTTTCCGAACATTCCCGATTATGACTCGCCGTTGTAAATTGCCTAGTGAAGATTTTTACAATAATTGTAAAATTAAAAATCCTTTGCCGTCACAAGTAAGCACCACTTACAACTAACAGTTGACTGCCGGAATGGCTACTTTGTAGCGTGGAAGTATGGCTCGAGGACATGTGTTGCTTAAATTGTAGTCAAACTGTAAGCAAAACTATGATAGCTATGGGCATTGGCAACCGAAAGAAATTGTTTGCAAATGAAAGAGAAAAAGTTGTGAGTAATTTTGGACACAGCATGTAGAAAGGTTATGCCATGCACGCATTTGAAATTTAAATAAATCCACCTACCTGTGATATACAATACTTGTATGTAACTTTCGCATATTATTTGCCGAGTTTATTCAGATATACATATATCCACTATTCATCGAACTAGGCTAAAAATATTAGGGGGCGCAACTTGTCAAAGTTACAATGAGGAAGATTAGGTGGAAGCATCTAGACGCAGTCTCATCCATTATCCAGCTTTCAGTAGGCTAGGATTGCAGTATCTCGATTGTCATACTTTCTACGAACCCGGCAAATTGGCTGGGGTTGATATTAGCGCTTCAATAAATTTTATTATGAATAAATTTAAGGCAAGCTCAAGGCGTTTTGTCGGCAGGCATCGGTCTTTTGGGTTCATATATAGTAGTTCTGGACTTTACGACGGACAAGCGTCTCTAGGTGTACAAGTGGGATTATTCGTGGCCTCACGAGAAATCAGCCTAACTAGAGACCTAATATAACTTATGATAGCCTAAAAGAACAGAATCAAAAACATAGAACTCTAAAAAGTATAATGAAGATGATAGATCTGATCTCCATTATATAACCTCTTTTGACATAGCTATGAATAAAAGGCTTTCACAACAATAAAATTTGTTGGATTTTATCCACTCATAAGCATTCTGAAAGTTCATCTCACCCGATGGCAGTATCTCTTTGACGGTACCACATCTATAATCGTATGCTCTACATCATTTAACCATATTACTAAATTTCAGAATTCAAAAACTTCTACTGAACTAAATTGCAACAGAGACTTTCCTGGACCACATTTTCAGAAAAACGTTTAAGGATTTTCAGACTAACAGTACTTTATATCACTACATAGTCAATTGAGAAAGCTTTTTTGCCAAAAATCTTGCAAGGCTTTTTAAAATGTACTTAGATATCTATCCTCAATATTCTATATTCTTATAACATTTTCATAGTCCTTATTTGCAGAGACCAAGCATATACATAATCGATTACAACTATTTAGTCTTTTGGAATCAAAGGAAAGCCCTAGGGATTCCTCACAGCTCACGGCCCAACCAAATTGAGTTTTCTTCAAATTCTTTACTGGAAAATGGTTGCTCCACTTCATAAAACTAAATCAGTAAAATTAAGTTATATTCTATCATTGGTGATCCCAGAGAACTGATGACATATTTTACTGCGTTCAAGATGTTCATTCCTTCGGATACCTACATGGTACTACTTTTTTGACTAAAGAGCCGAACGGAGCTCAAAACTGTTTTTCCGTAACAAACTCTCTTATTGCGTGTATGGCATAAAAATTTATGAGACCAACAATGAATTGCATGCAATAAGCACTTGAGGCTCAGCATAAAGCTCATCACACCTGTAACCAAATGAGTTGTGAGCTCCAATCCAGTCACATTCCAACGGAATACGCTTCAATTTGCTGCAAGTTGCAGTCACATTGTCTTCGCTTGTTGTAGCCAGAGGTGTAGTGTGTGCGTTTGTATGTGTTTGTTTGGGTGTGTGTGTATATCTGTATGTATACGCGTGTGTTGTGGCTGAAGTGCCAATGGCGCTGACAAGCGCCATATAACTGAAAACATTTTTATGAGTTAAGAGTTTTGTGCCGTTTTGAACGCTTTACGAGTGCGAATGTAACAACAACACTAACAAAAACTCACCTACAGTATAGCAATGCTGCAGCATACAAACAGCAACAACGCGCCGCAACTAAAACTTAACTCAACTCAGCTCGCTACATCTCATCTTTGTAACGCTTATTGCCATGCCAGATATAACAACAAAATATATGAATATGTATTGAATGTAAAAACAAAAACAACCAGCAAGCAACGGGCAACATGAATGCATGTCCAGATTGCGATGCGGTCTTCAATGGCCATCGGTGAGCATAAAATTCGCAACATTGTTGATTTAGTATCCATCAGCGAAAAAATATGTGAGTTTATTGTGTACGCATCCACACAAAATCAATGATCTTTTGGCCAAAGGATGGAGCGGCGCACATAGTCAGCATTCTAACAGCACGCCGCAGCGCGCCACAGCTCACCAACGTCGCGCGCGCTTCCGCCATGCTGCACAAACCCTCCGCGCAATAACCGGCCAGTTGGCAGCGCCGCCGCCACAGCCGCGCGAGCCAAAGTCAAGTGTAGACGCGCATTTTCATTTAGAAGATTAAATAGACCATAAACGCGAGAAATCGCCTTAAATACAACGGACAATGGCTAGCAGACAGTCGACGCTTTGGTTAATGTGACAACAATGTTGCCAAACACTACAAGCGATATGCGCACGCCACACACACATGCATACTTTGACGCTTTTGTATTTGTATGACTATCGAATTGGTTATGTTTCGTGTTCTCTGTTGAAGTGGAAGGCGGTACCGCTCGTTCGCCACTCGTATATAATGGTTAGTAAAAATCATTTTAATGATCGCATCTCGCCTGAAAATGCAAATTAAAATCTTTTTCTTTCAAATTAGTAAATGTGCGCGTATGTTTATTACATATAAACACACACACGCACACACATATGCACATGCATATGCGCACTTACACTTGTTGTAGTTGCGCTTGTGGTGCGCGGAGGAGGTTGCGGCGATTAGCGGCAATGGTCGTTTCACTTTTTTATGCGTTCTTTGATTGATTGGAATAAAACTGTAAGAGGCGAGTGGTCTTGGTACACAAATTAACATTGCATGCAAATATACATGTATTGAAGCACACATACATTTATATATATACATATTTACAGATACACATTCAAAGCAATAATAAACTAAGGCATGGCCAGTGATTTTTTGCGCTTGTAAAAGGAAACTGCTTGAGTAATTTTTTTATTTCTTTTTTAAATTTTTTTTTTGCTTTTGTTTCTTAAAGTTAGCTCTATGTTTCTCATGCGTCTTGATCTTGCACAAATTATCTCTTTCAATTGCAAAACTTAGGCTATTACAGATTTCTAGTTTATTACTGACATATTTGCAGCTAACGATAACAAAAGAAAGCTTTACTCAAACGATGTAATTATTACAAAGCTGCATACACGAGATCAATTTGAAACCAGCAATGTTCCAGAGTTGTTTCGGCGAAATTGGACCTTAAAGAAGGGGAGACAGGTAGCAAGAGAGAGAGAGAAAATGTGCTATAATGTCAATAGATGCCATACAATGACGTCGGACCGATGTCGTATGAAGTGGCTAAGACCAAACATATCCCAATTGAATGGAGCGAATTGAAGCTCACACAGTCTTTTCCAGAGGATAGCAATGGTATGTAATGTGTTTGGATCCAATCAGACCTAATTTTGATCAGTTTTGGGACTGCTGATAAAATAATAACAAAACTTAAGACAAAAATATTGATGACACACCAAAAATTCTTTTTAAATAAAAAGGATAACCAATAATTACTATCATAGTGTCCTAGACGAAAAATCAGCAGGCAGTCTTCGAATAAATGGATTCCTGCGCTATTAACCGTTAATATTTTTTATAGCAGGGATCTGGAACAATAATAGCTTCGAATTTTTTTTTTGATTTCGAATTAAATTGGTTATTGAATTCGTTTCCTACTTTCCAGCTACAAAAAAAAATTCGCGTGTTGTTTAAAGATTTTCTTGAAAACTATTTATATATATCTACACTTTTACATATCATCTACTCTATACATACAAACCAAAAACCGTCTTTTAACCCCGCTTTATCGAATGAAATCACAATATTTTTTTTTCATCTTTGATATTTATTTATAGGACATTGCTATAATTTAACACACTCAACTACCCACTGTTGGGCCAAATATAGTATTGTATATAATATGAATTGCATGTGCCACAAAACATATTGTAAGAAGAATTGAAATACTATTTTTTATTTCTAATTAGTAAATAATTAAATAATTATATAATATTACTATAAAGCAGCTAATGCTTACCCATAATGAATTATTTATACAATACATATATTTATAAATAAATGTTAGTTAGTTAAAGTTGATTATTGCAATTGTTTTTGTGTTTTTTTTTTTAATAACAACCTTTTTGATTTTAGCAATTCTTGCTTACAACTGGTACACGCTTTGACAGGAATGTAAATATTTAATGGATTTTATATACATGCTGAGTTGGTACTCTAAACTAATGCAATTTTTAGTGAGAAAAAAGTTAAATTTGTTTTAAATTACAGTTAATAACGCTTTGTAGGTAGAAAAAGCTACGTCGATATAATTTTTTCTAAAAATTTCGGTGTTATAAGGGTTAAAGGGAAATTTTTTATAAATACATGCAAATGTAGGTGTATTTTTATTAAGATTTATTATAACTTCCTCAATAAATATTGCCATATACATATGCAGATAAAAATTTAATTTTTTTTTAAATTTAAGTACCGTAATTTTCAAAATAGTGTAAACAAAAATAGGAAATTTGTATTATTTATTTACACATTTATATATATTTTTTACATTTAACACATATTTAGTACTGGGTTGTATTATATTTAATTATTTATTTTTTGTAGTTATTTTTTCTAGCTATATGATATTACGAAATGCCGCCAAACGACAATTTCCATTTATTTTTTGTATTTTTATTGGCTATTTAACAAAATAGCCGCACTCTTCGTTAGAAATTTTTTTTATAACTAACAACAACAACATTGTGCATTTTCTATAGTAACCCAGTAGCGAAAACCGACTCTAGTGAAGTGAATTCATCAACTCAGACATTGTAGCGGCTAATCGTTCGCTATAGATTAATCGTTTGCTAATTTGAAAAATTCCTCGTGCTTTATTTGTCGACTTAATTGCATACTCAAATACAGACCATATAATGTACAATTATAGTGTGCAGATTTGAGTCAGATTTTTGATTTAAAGAGACAAACACATATCTCTAACTTTCAGTAGGTCCCGCTATTTACGATTACAACAAAAACAATCGTGGTTCTTGACTATAATAAAAAAAGAGAAAATTACCCAAAATAAGGAAGGACTTGGTTAGTACTAGGTTAACCTTCCTCAATTTATAAATGTAATCCACAACCTTGTTGCTACTACAATGGCGTTTGAAATATTTTACATATACCAAGTAGATTGTTTGTATCATTTATAGGGCCTGTACTGTAACGAACGACTACTTTGAATTTTTAAGTAAAGAAAAAGCCTAATTAAACGAGACTAATATAAATGAAAATGTAGCCCTGAGGCGATAAATCAAAAAAGCTAAGTAATTTAAAAGGGACCATTTCAGAACCAGATGTGCTAATAGATATATAATTTACTCTTTTCTTTTAAAATTGATATCAATGTTAATTTAAAATTAAAAATAATCTTAGCCAGATAAAAAAATAATAGTAAGAACGAAGCCATCATTTTTCCTACTAGACATTTTTATTATATTCAATATTGTTGATAATTTTATATTTATAAAGAATTTTAATAGAAAGTTCAAAAGTATTTGTGCTAAATCAAAACGTAATAGTTCGAAGCCTTATATTTGTTTACCAGGCGTCATTGTTAATACTTTAATTTTTATGTCAAAAAAGACTAGTGCCAATTCTAGATGGAATAGTTCCAAGCCTTAAATTTTCTTACTGGGCATTCTACTAATGTTGTTGCTGTTGTCAGTTTATATTATAACCTACATTAAGTAGCACGCGCACGCTCGTTGTAATGTTGTACGATTTCGTTAATTACTTTGGTTTCAAATTGTCTGCTATGTTTGTTATAATTTTTGCAAAGCGAACACGCTCATTTAAATGTAAATCTATGTGCATATTTGTTTTAATTTTTTTATTTTTATTATTTTTTTTTGCATTGCAGCGCTTAGTACAAAGCATGCAGCTTGCGTCCGCCAAGTTTCATGTTACGCTCATAATTAAGCGGCCAGCACACGGTTAGCGGTGTCTTACAATAGACAAAGTAATTCTTACCTTCACTCGCCGCCATGACGCTGCTATTACATACCAACACTGGCGGTACCGATGTGTCAATCACAAGCGCGCCTCCGAGTCAGGTTTGTCAAATTTATTTGTAATGTAATCCGTGCGCGCAACGCCCTGCTTCACGCGATTAGAATGGAGCTTGCGGCGCGCGCTCAGCGATCGTGCTTGGTGAGTTGCAGTGGCGCTTTGTTGCTCGTCGGCGACATTTCACTCATTGGATTGTTATTGCTAGTGCTCGTGTTGTCATTATGTTTGTTGTTGTTGCTGTAGCCATTATTTTGGTCTGCGGCGCTGGTGCGTGGCGTGCGCCGTACTACTTCCAACTCATCGTCGGAGTCGTCGTGCACGTTGATCTCCTCCTCCGAATCCTCGGAAGAGTCGTCCACCGTCACTAGCTGTTGTTGTTGTTGGTGGTGATGTTGCTGTTGCTGGTGTTGTTGTTTCAGCTCCTCACCCATGCTTGCAGCATTCGCTGACAATGTCGCCGCCACCGCGTACTGGCGCACCAAGTGCGCGAACGCCGCCGCCGAGGGTGAGCCGACCAGCGAGCGGAAGGCGCTATGCTCACCGCCCATTGATAATGGCGCTGATGCTGTGGGCGATGTGCTGAGTTGCTGCTGTTGTTGTTGTTGCTGAGATGTCACCAATGATGCCGCCAGCGTTGCTGCCAACGGATGTTGTTGCTGTTGCGCCGCCACCGAGGCAGCACTTTCTGCACTCGGTTCTGCCGCTGGGTGTTGCAATTGACCGCCCGCCGCCGCCGCTGCATAATGCGCTTTGGCAGCGTACTGTTGATGATGATGCTGCTGCTGTTGTTGTTGACTGTAGTGATTCAACAACATGGTCGCCGCATTGCTGTTCGGGGGATGATGCGGCGCATGGTGTGTCAAATGATGTCCGTGCGCGCGCAATTCCAATTCGCTCGCTGACGAATTCACCGCCGTCGCCGACGACGCTTGACCGCCATGCGTGTAGTGGTGGTGGTGGTGGTGGTGCGATTGCAATTGGTCCGCGCCCGCACATGTAGAGGTGTTGCTGTTGCTGTGACAGCTGGAGGTCGGTGAAGCGGCCACGCCCATCGTCGCTGGCGGCGCGAGACTGTGACTGTGATTGAGACTGTTGCTGTTGTGATTGTTGCTGCTGCTGTAGCTGTTGTTGTTGTTGTTGTTGCTTTCGGGCGACGGCTGTGAATGCGGAATGTGTGGATGGCCGGAGGGGCTGGAGCGCTGCTTCAACAGATTCATGCGCTGATGGCGGCGCCACTTCGCTCTTCTGTTGGAAAACCAAACCTGAATTGATCAATGCGGAAAGGACGATGTGGTTAGTTCAAAAATAAACGCGACTATAAATGCGAAAGCAGCGGATAAGAAAACAAAATTTTAAATTAACGCATGTATGTGTGAGTGCAAATAAAACGGAATAACGGTTAATAGTATTCAAGCAAGTGGAGAATGAGGGAATTTAGCGCTATCGAGTGAACATTATTGTGAACGGATGGATGTATGGATTAATAGGAATAAATGAATGGATATCGATATGGATCTTGACGAATATGTGTATTGATATATTTATTGTATGAAGTTTGATGGGAATTCGGATATATGTAGATATGAAAATAGAATTGAATATGGATATGAATATAGATATGGGTCTAGATATGAATATGGATACGAAAAAGTTTCTTTTAAAGAAAGGTCTGATTTGGATTCGGACATAAATACAAAAATTTAATTAAATACGGTTATCGGCATGGACATAGGTATTTATATGATATAGATATATGTGAATTCGGATATGGACATGAATGTGTGTGTATATGGACACCCACATGGATAAATATAGGGTTAAACAATTTCTTTAAATAAAGATTTGGTGTAGACTGGGATATAGATGGATATGGATATGCCTATGGATAAGAATATCTATTGGATATAAATTGATGTAGATCCAAATAATACATATATATGTGGATAGGCACATATATGTATATATATTGTATATAAATACGGATATGGATACAGGTGAAGATTTCTTTTAAAAAAGTTTGATTTGAATTCGTACATAAAGGCGAAAACTTAAACGGATACGGATATCAGCATGGCTTCAGATATATATATATATATGAAAATGGGTGTAGAAATGAAACAAGATTTAGATATGGATATTAATATGGCTATGGATAAGAGTAGGATGTATTGATATGGATATGGGTAAGACATAGATAAAGATATGTAGATGAATATGAATATGGATATGTGTGGAAATATATATGTAAGGCTACAGTTATGGAGAAGTTCTGGATATGTATATCGTTAGGGATAAGTATTGGAATATTAACAAAACTTTCGATAAGGATTCAGACAAAAAATTTGATATTGAAAATAATTTAAAATTAAAAATAATATATATGAATGGGGATGTTCAGAAATGAGAGTAAATAATAATGTCAATACACCTAATTTTAGATGTATTGTTAGACACAGGACATGAGGAATATACCAAACACCTTTTAAAAATTCTGTGATGAAAATTGGTTTTAAAAAATAAAAACGTATGCTCACTTGCACTCGTGCCTCACTCAACGACGTACGGCTCGATAAACGCTCTCGCGTGCTCACACATGGGTAATGACTCTTATCGAACTCCTTCTCTAGCTCCTCCAATTGCTCTGGACTGAAAGTTGTGCGATTGCGACGAAATTTCGGCTCATCATCATCGTCCAAGTAGTCCGAGTCCACATGTCGACTATCATCAGGTGACTCCAACGTGTCCCGACTACCCGAACCAGGTGATATTGCACGATTATTTGTTGTCAACAGACCACCTGAGCCACTGCTGGTACCCATATTACTGCTTAAACCGCCGCTATTACCGCTACCCGACGGTGGTAGCGTCGTAAGCGTTGGACCCGTCGCTTGTGTGGGCCAAAAGTGCGCAGCTGCCGGGGCATTGGCTGCTGCAGCTGCCGCTGCGGCAGAGGGATGCCAAGTAAATCCACCATATGGATGTGGAGGATAGAGACTGTAGGCGGCGGTGCGTGCAAATTCACTGGCCACACGCTCGGCGGCACGATTGCGTAATATGCGATTGATGGAAGAAACCGAAGGTGCGGTGGTGTTGGTGCAAACGGCTGGAAGAAAATATGAAGTGAAAACATGGCACTCAATTTTGGTGTAAATATTGCTAAAATCACCAAAGCTTGCAGAATGGCGAATCGAACACACAACTAAAATTCCTATAATTATTTGATAAACTCTGAAACACAAGGTACAATAAACTAAATTATTTTTATTACAAATATTTTTCAAATTATCTCTATTATAAATATTGTTTTTCATTAAAAATCCTAAAACATTAAACTATATAATTATTTTCAATAAAAAAATTCAAAAACAAAAAAAATTACTAAACAAATATGAATCAAAAAGCTGACGCAATGACTTACAGATAGCATGGAAAAGGCTATGCCACGTTAGAGGGGGATAAGAGATTCTTCAGATTGAAGTATTACTTTGTTTAAACTTGGAGAATTATTTGACTATTGAAACCGATCGAAAAATATGGCAGGACCCATTGGTAAATGAAGGAAAGTAGCTTAATATATTTATTTTATGAGAAAACAACAGTTACACCAAGTAAACTTAGCTAAATTGAACGCTGCAATTTCTTAAGCTTAGCTTGAGACTTGATTGGAGCGATAACCAAAGCTATATATACGTATATATCATGTGAGCATATCACTATTAAATGAATTAATGCGCTGCCACAGTCATTTATGAGTTATTAAACTACTTTGCAACAAAGCCGCCTCAACAATGTGCAGTGGCTTTGTCAAAGTAGAGCCGCTACAGTGGACTTAAAGCCATCATTAACCCTGATGGGCAATCAATCAAATAGCGAGCAACGTGCAAACAAACGCCAACAGATTAAAATCGAATGGCTTGGGGTAAGCGGGAAGCGCATCTGCATTTATATGGATCATATATACCAGTAACCTGCTGCTTACGCGGCATTTTATAGTTTAGGGGGTATGCATATCGGTTTTATATAGCATTTAATCAGCGCGACGCTCTAATTGGTGTTTACGATCTTGCGCCCAATGCGTGGCATGCAATATGTATAGGCTGATATACATATATATATATATATATATAGTTTAATGTGTTATCTTTTTGTTGTACATACCTTCCGATATCAACCGTTCGCGTATTTCCCATGCGAATATTGTTGGATTCTCGCGCTTGTACTGTTCGATCTTTGAGACAACTGTTGGTGTGGCGACTTTTGGCTTGGAGCCACCAATTAGACCAGGTGGACGCAGTGAGCCTGCAAGTGGAAAGAAGTTAAGAAAACAAATTAATAAATTATTGCTGGATAACAGCAACTGCTTAAAAAAATTAAAATTACACAATCATGTGGTATATACGAGTATATTCAACACAGCGGAAGTGGTACACAAATGTGATGGAAATACACTCATTTATATACGAAAAAAATTTATATATATTTTCTAAAGAAAACTACACCACAGTGTGAAAAGCTGTAAGATGTTAACCCTTTTTTTTAAATTTAAGGTACACTTAAGGGAGTCCGTTAACTACAGTACGTGAAACTGAAAACTCGTTTTTTCGAAATTGCATTTTTCAAATCAGGTGACGATGGAACTCGTATCACACATATACACTTAAAATTTTAGCTGCAGCTTAGCAAAAATATTATCAAGATTTGGTTGTTATTGCAAATTTGTATACCCTAAATGGTATGAGATATGGTAGATGTAAGTGTCGTTTACGCCATTTTTAATAAGTCGGGATCTGTAATTTTTTAATTGTATTCAGTAATGTTTACAATTACATCATGAAAAGACATACGCAAGAACAACATTTACAAATTATTCAATTTTATTATCAAAATAATCGTTCCCCAATTTTAACTTTTGCCATTTTATGATCGTAATAATCATCCACCTGTCCTCGCCATTTGTCGAATAAATAAACAAAACTCTCGATTCTGGTGCGAAGAAAATCCACAAATTATTCATGAACAACCATTGCATTCACCTAAATTGACAGTTTGGTGTCGTTTTGGGTCTGATGGAATCATCGGTCCGTACTTGTTTCGAAATGAAGCTAGTGACACCGTTACTGTCCATAGAGAGTGGTATAGATCGATGATAACCAACTTTTTATGGCCGCAATTAGAAGAAGTTGATCTTGATAACATCTGGTTCCAACAAGACGGGGCAACGTGCAACAACAACAATTATCGTATGAAAAGTTTGGAGATTTGATCATTTCAAGAAATTGTGACATTGAATAGCCTCCAAGCAGTTGTGATTTAACACCATTAAACTACTTCTTGTGGGGTAATTTGAATTCATTGGTCTCTAGCAATAAACCAGACTCTCTTCAAGCTTTAGATGTCAATATTGAACGTTCTATTCATGACATACGACTTGGTTTAGAGGAAAAAGTACTCGAAAATTGGGTTCATCGAATTCGTTCCTGCAAAAGAATTCATGGAAGCTTTTTGAATTTCCTTAACAGTTCTTTTTTTAGAAAAAAAATGCTATCACTCTTATTGGAAAACCCTTTATAAGCTTTCTTTAGTTCGACAAGCGTTACTCTCTAGCGAATAGAACAAACTATACCAGATGCTCAAACAAACGGGCAGCACTTGTGGTGTAACCCTGCGCAAATACGTCTTCTGAAACATGCGCATGAAGAATGTTATGATTTTTCTTTAGTATAGAAACTTGTTTAATCGCGTTAAAAAAGGTTGCAGTAACTTTTTATTTTTGTTCTCTATAAGTTACTATAATGGATTTTAAATCTTAAGTTTTAAAAACACAAGAAAAATATAAATTTGTATTTTAGTTTGTCATTTGAACCATTCACAATAGTAAAACTGATCAAAAATATGCTATACCACTTTAATCAGGTATCCGTATACTCTCTTCATACGAATTCAACTCGTTAACTTTATTGTTGATTTTCCATGTAATTTTTTTGACCATAAAGTTGAAGCGAGCAGAGAAATGGCGAATCGAAGACAGCTATTCTCGTATAAATGATAAGCGCGACGAGCTGAGTCGATTTAGTCAAGTCCATCTATCCTAATTAGTCCCTTACCTACCAACTATATGTTAAATAAAGCTTTAAAGAAACCCCTTAACTACAAACTCGACATTCCAAACAGGTTTACAGGATGTGCCAACACTGACCGTTACACGCAACAGGACACACTCAAAACCCATGTGATTCAGTGACAATTAGTGCAAAATTAAAAAATCATCATAAAAATGCAATTAGTATGCGCTTTCAACAAATATTTAACACCAACAACAAGCAGTTGTAGTTACCGCTATAGCAAAGTGTTTATTTGTTTGTACCACACACCAGGGACTGTTGGGCCTAAAACCATCACCACCAACTGGGAACCCTTTCGTAATGCATTTGCAACATTATCAATCATCTTTCGACAACAACAAATGCTTTGCCTGCCAACCATTTTGCCTGAGTCAGCGTTGTCGGGTTTGGTTGGCGTATGCGTTACCTGGCTACCGACTTGCTGCCACGTTGATCGTTATCATGCTGGTATATGCACACATATATATACATGTAAGTGTGTGTGTTTGTATGTAACAACAATAAAGTGCACTTATGTGAATATAATAGCTTTATCATCAATTTGCAATCGGCAAGACGCGTATTTTGTACCTACAAACCGCTACTGACAGCCAAACAGACAAACAGACGGACAGGCTGCGACGGAAGCCGAGCATCAACCGCTGCCAACTGTTTCTGCGTGTTTTTGTGTATGTGTAATTGTCTGATATGTTGACGTTGGTAAGCGCAATGTTGCATTGTGCGCCAATTGGTGTTGTATAACATAATATATGTGTTGTTATCTTTGTTGTTATTGCACTAATAACTCATCGCATGCACGAAATAAGCAGCAGTTACGCTGCACTTATTGTTGCAATCGCACAAATTACAGGAAATTTTCTATACACGTATATATAAACACAAGTAGATATGAACACAAGTAGATATGAATATGTAAATATAATGTTGGTGTATCAAAAGTCTGTATGGGCTCAATGGTGCTAAAGATCACAACATCTATCTGAAGATGATTTTATTTGTTTATATATTGAAATCTGCCTCGATTTCCGTTATATGAACCGTTCTAAGGAAATCAGTAATATTGATTTATCTCAGTTCAACAATAAAAAAGGAACTTGTTCTACTCCAATCGCTGTTAGAGGAAATCTACTCACGCCATAATAATATCATTCGAAAGACATTTGCTTGCATGTTCGTTGTTTAAGAGGATTGTCGAACTCTCTCCAATCTGACCTTTCCAGAATAGCTTTAAATCGAAATCGATTAAAAATTCGTACAAACTGAATAGCGAGGCGCTTTTCGAAATAGGAGGATCGCTAGTGATCATCCAATCTGGCTTAACGTAACCAAAACAAGGCAAGGCCACATGGGCTCAATTGTGTGAAATGTTGCCACCTTGTTGAGGCCCTATGCTCCAGAGAAGAGTAATAAGCAATAATCCTCGGACTATTAACGAACTCAAAGCTAAATTCATCGCGATACCACGCGAAATGTTCCAAAAGGTAATAGATGATACAGCAAAGTGGGCTGTTGTCAGTAGTGGTTATTATTAAGGATCTGATAAAGTAAATATATTATATCTCAATTATAATAGATGGTTGCCAACATATATACAAGAATATATTCTTAATTATACACGTATGGAATATATATACATAAATATATTATATATGTGGAAAGATACGAAAGGCGCATATTTCAAATTTGTATATACTCATTGCGCATAACAAAGAGCACTCAAGACATTTCTCGATATTGCCTTAGACAAGCAAATTTTAAAATTTTAAATTTAGATAAATTTTTGATCAATCATCATGATAATAGTACTAGAAAAAAGCATTAACACTGTGAAATCACCTTCTTTAACCGCACGAATAACAGCAGCAAATCATTAATAGGTATTTGGATTCACAAAGATTTGGAGAGTAGCGAATCGAACAAACTATACTAGCTGTTCAAACAAGCAGACAATGCTTGCGTTTCAACTTTGCGCTAACATGTCCTTTGACGTTTTCACAATTGTGTTACGATTCTTTCATTGGTAGAGCAATACTTCGTTCCGTGTCAAAAAAACGTTTTATAAACAATTATAATTGATTCTCATAATTCAAAAGAAAACATGGTAGGGTTGAAGATAGCCGAATGAAGTATCAGCATACTCTCTTGTACGAATTCAACTCGATAACTTTCTTATTGCTTTTAGATTTAATTTTTTTTGGCAAGGAGCAACTCTTAAAGATATGTAGATAGCCAGAGATATACCGAATCGAAGACAGTTTATATTAATTATGCTCACGCTTATGAAGATTATTACTACCAGGGAGTTATGGATTTTTTTCTATTAGAAACGTTTCGGCTCACAACTATTCTAACACGAAGGACATAAAGAGTGAGAAAGAAAGATAGATTAATTTTACTACCAAAAAAGTTGTAAAACAAGTCCGAAAGTAAGTTTTTATATAGCTCATACTCGTAATTATCATAAGTTTCAGGTTAAAAAAATATATTTAAACTTTTATAAATATAATGTATATACATATATGTAGATTCATGGGGGTTAACCCAATTCTATAACATCTATGGAATCGAATTTCTTGAAAATCCAAAACACTAAAAAAGTTTATCACCAGCTTTGTAGTAGTCATCAGAACCGTAAATTTTGTACGAATTTAAACAAATAATTTAATTTAAATAATTCTAACGTATATTTAACTATATCTATTATAGGATTACTCCCACATTTTAAACAAAATTTTATTTACATTTTTCGAGAAAAGTTGTCGAAACGACAGTTGAGCTAAAGAGCATTAAAATAATCAATGGAAAATATTCCACGAATGTTGTTTTTATATAGTACAGTTCCTACAGATAAGATCTTCAATTTTGAGAACTATTGAATTTTTTTATATAGTATAGTTTTAACATAACATATGTTTTATTTGGGTTTTCCGAAAATAACAGCTTTAACTCGAGTTTACTGATCATTACTACATTTACCACATCACAAAATTTCGTTTAACCCGTCAACTACTTAGTTTTGGTTGTTATATCAACACATTCAAAGTTTACCAAATCATAAATTTTCATTTAATTCTTTGTTTGGCAACAAAATTATAAGCACGATTTTAAATGTTAAACACACTTTTTAAAGTTATAATAATTTAAACGTAGGTCTTCTTAAACAGCACAGTGAAAACACTTGATTTGTAAGCGCTAGTATCACACTCTTATTAGTCATAAGATAAGTAAAGTTTGAAGGAGGAAGCATCAATATTATATTAAACTAGACACCGAGGAATAATAATAAGCAGATCTCAAAAATGTTTTGCTGAATAATCATAAGAAGTAATAAAAATCATTTTTAGAAGAGGACACCAATATTTTATAAGCAGAAGTTAATGCTTGATGAATGTAAAAGATTCCTGTTTAACGTTTTTTTTGAAGTCTGAGGCCAGAAAAATTGTGATTAGCAAAACAAATTCATTCAACCACGATTTTAATACCCTGAACAGGGTATCTTAAGTTTGGCAGGAAATTTCTAACGCGCAGAGGCGAAACACCGCAGACCCTTTAAAGTATATATATGTATAAATGAGCAACGTGACGTGCTGAGTCGATTTAACCGTGTCGCTTTGCCTGTATATACGCGCCCTCAGGTTTTGAGGTATCGATCTGAAATTTTGCACATTCCCTTTTCATCCCAAAAAGCTGTCGCAACCGCATACAAAGTGATCGATCAAGTCCGATCCGAACATATTGTTCATAATCGATCTTTGTATACTTCTGAGAACTTATTCTTTCGAACCTTAGTTTTTTCAACGAAATTAGAATTACAAACTAATTTAATTTAATCTTAAATTTTAGAAATAATTGCTGTGTACTCACCTAGTAGCTTGGAGACAGCACCCTGTTGCGACAACATATGCTGAGCTATATCGTAACCGCGTAGACCGCCGAAACGAGACAACTCGAGTAAACGCTGTTGGGACATGAGCGCATTCAGCGTGGTGGGCGATGGTGAGCCACCGGCTCCGAAGATTGCAGCGCCCGGTATTTGCACAGAGGGTGGCAGGCCGACTGGAATGTAAAATGTAATTTTAAAAGAAAATATTTTTTTTTTGTAAATGTTATAGAAATAAATGTTTTATAAATAATAATTTATAAATTCGGGTTGTATAGCCGCCTAACTGCACCTTCGCTCGTTGAAAGCGCTTTTGTGTGCTTGTTCATTGAGAATGCTAATGTTTGCCTACGATTGAACTAATTTCTCAATATATCGCGCAGGCGGCGCAGTTCCGCCGACTTTGCACTCCGCGGCGAATTAGTAATGGCTACTAAAACTAATATAATTATAACAATTTCGCTGCATCAATTCGTATCAAACTTTATGCTTAATTACCAGTGACTAATTTGGTTTAACATGACTAACTGTATTAAATAAATAGCGTTAATTTTGTGTTTACTATTTTTCTGCCGTTAAGTAGCGCAGCAACAAATAGTTCGAGCAAAATAACAAACAAAAAGAGCTTTTTGCCGCTTACGGGTCGGTGCGCGGAGCGGTAGTGGCACATGAGGCAACGTTTGTTGCCGTCACAACCGCACGGCATACCCTTGTCAGCTGAACTAGTTGAAATAAATTAAGAAATTTATACAGGTGTGCTACATAAGCAGATCATGACATTTATTAAGGTTTAATTGTTTTCCTACACGAGCATTTCAAGCGATTGTTGATTACACCTAATATACACCCAAAATACTTTCGTCTGCTCAATTCAACATTTACAATTATGATTTACGTATATGCATAGGTACATATGTGCAAACACACAGGCGCACAGTGCAAACAGTGCGAACAATCGGCACGTTTTAAATATTTAATTAACAATAACCGTGGAAAAACATTTATAAAAGATAACAAATGCCAAAAACAGTAACCACAATAAATTTAACAGAAAATATAAAATGCTTAAAATACAAATATTATTTTTTATTTATAAATATCCAAAAGAAAGAGAATTTATGCTTAAAATAAATTATAAAAAAATTTTTTTTAAGTAGTTTTAAATTAATTAATTACCACATAAAATTGCTGAAAATGCGTTAACTATCACAGCTGTCAGCGCTTGATTTAAAGTTGAGCGAATTCTATGACTTTTTCACCCTAACCGAATTTCCATGCATACATTCCGGCTAGCTACCCTCACATAAATTATTCTAATCAAAATTCATTAACTTTCATAACATTAATTAACATAATTACGCCGTTTTTTATAAGCTTAGCCACTTAACTACTTAAGGGCATTCTAACATAATACTTTCATTAGAAAATAAGTGAAAGCTGCGTGCGAAAGCTTTAAGCTTTCCAAAAAAAAAGGTGAAAAACAAACAAAAACATATTTTCCACAACTTGTTTAATGATTATGTATTTATGTGCTTAATTCGCGAAATATTTTAATATTTTGGCAGCTTCAGTAAAAATTCAAACACAGTGCTTTCATTACAAAAATAAAAGCTTTGTATGGAAACTTTGAGCTTTAAGAAAAAAGTTGAAAATAAATATTTTTCTACGTTTTTCCCATGATTATGTAACCTGTGTGCTACATTTGCTAAAGTATTTATATTTATTATATATATATATATATATATATATATATATTTATAACATGGAATTTAAACATAAAATAAGAAACGAGATATAAAAATAAGATGTGAAGTGAAATGTTCAGGAATTCTCATTAAAGGAATAATAATAATGCGCATGAAAGTAGTATATGACGTCTTAAGCTTTAAAGTGGCCCATTTATTAGTGAGCATATGAAATGAGCTTTCAAAAATTATAAAGTTTAAAATTTAAAGCAAAAAAAATTTTTTTTGAGATTGTTCGATAACTATTGTAAATATTGTTTTTTTTGTATCATTTTGTGAAATTCTACTTTCTTAGCTACATTTTATTCTAAGAACTAGTCTAAGCAGCGAACAGAAACTACTTTTAAATGAATAAAATGAAAAAACTCTCTGCTTTAAAAAATATATATAATAATAAAAATTAAATTTTTTAATTCACTTGTCTTTCATAAGCGAGTAGCAAACGAAGGTGCAAGATTTTAGGTATTTAACAATACTGTCAACAACTCAGTTACCAATAGTGAGAAAATGGAGTATAAATTTATCTGTTTTGGCTGCGCAATCTTCGAAATACCTATTCTATTCTGCAACAGTTCTTAATTTGAATTTCGTTATTTTCTTAACCAAGCTCGATAAACTCAAAAAATAACCTAATTTTATTTATCGCTTTCAATAATTATTATATTTCCTTGCAACTATCGTTAAATAACAAAAAAATTTGAATTTTTTGATTTCAATATAGACTCTTCGTTTGTTTCTATATGTATATGTTGGATTTGGATTTATGAAACTTAATTTCTTCTTAACCTCATATTCGTACATTATTTTATGATACGTTGATGACGACATAAAATGTTTTTGTTTTAAGAATTGGTTTTTTTTTTAATTTTATATGGGAAGACATACCTAGAAAAGTAAAAAGGAAATATTTTAAAAAATTTTACACTGTGTTTATTTAACTTTACTGATGTATTTATTATTGTAATAGTTATAATATTTATATATAATATTCTTTCCTAGTGAAATTAATTACTGGCTTAAATTTTGTTTTATTTTAAGATCTTACTTAATTTTTATTTTGTATCGAGCATATACTCAGTTTAGCGCATGACTGCTACCATATTATTTCTAACGTTCATCGTTCCTCATTGGAGGATCAAACAAACTTTCAAAAGATTTTCTGGCACGTAAAAGCTAAACAAAGAAGTCACTACAACGCTAAGAGGTGCCTTAAAACACATAGGAACTACATTTTTAATGGCATACGAACTCACATAAATAAGATAAGCCACTAGCCAAACATCTAATTGTACTTTTGTCAAACCATTTTGGAAACTTTTTCTCACTAAATTTAAATTTTAACTGATTCAGGAGCATGCCGACAAACCCGTCGGAAAATTTTATATTATTCACACAGTTTTATAATAACTGTTATCATTTTTTAATAATTGAAATAAATTCCGAAACTTACTATTGCATTGTGGCGGTATTGTGGGCGCACCACCTGTACCCGCTAAGGCTGGTATTCTTGGTGGTTCCATTTTCCAATGCGCTGGTATGCTCGTATTTGCGGCGGCCAATGTTCCAAATTTATGATTAATACCCGGTTCAATCAACATGACCAAGCGAGCACTGCAGCTTTGGGAGTAATTTTTCACGATTCTTAGGTTTATAGTTATATATGCGTATTATTTTGTGGGAGTTGCTTAGGGAGTATACTTGAAGAGTTACACAAGAAGCTACATACTAAGCAGCAGTGTTTGTATGTAATTATGCATTTAAGTTATAAGCAGCAGTGTTTGTATGTAATTATGCATTTAAGTTATAGTAACTGTTTGTGGTGATAAGGCATGCACAATCACGCATTAACGCACAAAAACAACAACACAGCGCGCTATTATATGCATATAATATAAGTACAGTTTAGCGAAAGTAAGAAATGTGCGTTAGTTTGAATATATGTTTTTTTTATACTCTACTTTCTTACAATTTTTGTGCACTTTTGAAGTTTTGGTAAATTTTTTTGTTTATTTAATTTTTAATTGATTTCATTTTTTATTAATTATTTTTGAATTTATTTTCGTTTATTATTATTTTTTAATTTTTTTATATTATTATAATTTTTTTTTTAATTTCTAAGCTGTCAATGTTTTTACATTAATTTTTTTACTAATACACACATAGTTTTTATTATTATGCACTTTTTTCCATATTTCACGCTTTATTTTCGTGTCTTCTCAATCGCGTTGTTTTTTTTTTTTTTTGTAATTTTATTTTATTATTGCAAACTTTGATTTCACATAACGCGTCCGCACTGAGCGTAATCATGAATATTTTTCATACAACGACACGATCCACACACGAAAGCCGAACTCGGCGCACTGAATTAACAAATTCCATCTCAACTAGTTGTGGCGGCTTTGCGTTACGCCATTCGACTCAATGCGCCACCGCCAAAACACCACCGCGCACCGCTTCAATTAACCAACAACCGCCCGCTGTAGATGTTAGCCTGTTCGAGCCAATTTGCCGTGCCATTTGAGTGAGTGCTTTTGTATGCTCACGCGCTCAAATGAACAACAACAAAAGCCTGTGTCAGTCGCCAACACATGTACAACAATTTTATTATTCTTCTTGCCTTTATTGTTGCTGCTTTAGTCATCACCACCATCGCTAGCATTCCGCCACCGGTTTTTCGACCTCAATGCACAAGAATAATGGCGGCGCGCAATAAACGCCAAGGCACCACTAGTGCGAAGGAGCAAGTTGCCGGCAACTCAGCTGCTGTCGTGCCACTTGCTCTCTAGCGTTTTAAAAATAGTGAGCGCTTGTTTTACATCGCTTGTTCTTTTTGCTGCGGCGTTCGCATGGACTTGACTCTGGCCGCGCTTGCTTACCTAAATCACATTCCGTGCATTAATTGCCGCCCGTTGACTGGCGGTTGAGCGCTTGTATGCCTGCAGTGGGCAGTGCCGTGCGCTCATGCTCGCGTTATCCGATACCAACAATGTCGTGCCTGCGCTCTCTCGCTTACACTGCTGTTGGTTGGCGTTGTAAAATTTCGCTTGGTACTATTCTTTCCAGTTGTTCGCCGCAAACTTGTCAGGTTGTTGTTGTTGCTTTGTATGTGCACATTTTTATTGCTGTCGTAAATTTTATATCACTCTCTTTTTTGTCCCGCTTTGTTGTCTGCGCTTTAGTGGCTGCCACTAACCCTTCTCCCGCGCACACATAACATTCTTAGTTTATCAATTTATTTCTTCCTCCCATTTGTTGGGTTGTGCATATAATTGCTTCGGTCTTGTGAAAATTGGACGCGCACAGAGAGCGTAACTCGCTCATTCGATATGGAAATCGTAGTTCCACTTTTGTAAATATTTATCGTTTTTATCGTTAAACCTAGCTATTGCGAACCGCCTACAAGTGCAGCCCCTTTCGGTGCCTATTCACGGTTATATATGTATGTATATGTATATATGATGTAAAATTCAAATACGTACGTAAAATATGTATGTATGTAAGCATTTTGTAGTTTTTGCTAATATTTAATGCTTGAACAGAAGACTGCACTATTCGCATTTACAACTTCAGCAATAGATACATGTGTATATTAGTAGTAATTAAAAAGATATTTAAAATTGATTTAAGCATATGTACAGACAGTTTTCCTATAGCCAACCAGCAATTGCAGCTATAAATAGTATGTCTGTCTGTATTATTATAATGGGGATACATTTTTGGTACCCAAATTGGATATTTTAAATTCTTACCTATGTAGGTTTTGAAAAGAAATAAAAAAATCAGGACTGATACTTTCCCTAAGATATTAACCATGGTGGTCGAATATAATGTATTTACATTTGTGTACATATCTGAAAGTTTATGCCAATAATCCCAGGGCTCTTGGAAAAGGTCTGCTGAAAAAATTTAAGTGACTATGTGTGATAGTTTTCTAGTATTTGAAAAACGCAGTTTTGAAAGAAAACCGTTTGAAATTTTACGGCTGAATCTGACCCGTACCCTCGGTACTACCGCCGATTGGGCAAAATGTGTGTGTAGGAACAGATTTTTTTGAAAATCTTAGACTAGCCTAACAACTTAATGCTATATGCCCATGATAATTAATTGTTATATTTAAAAACTCCCTTTTGAGTTGTAAAATAAATGGCTATCTTCATTTAAGGCTATGTGTGTGCGACTTTGCTTAGTCAAGGATACATAACATATGCTGGAATTAGTAACAGACGCGCCGCCCTTCCGTACTTACCGTCCGTATCAAACGAAATTTTTCACAAGTTATGCCCGTAGTTGCAACGCAGAATTGCCATTGTTCTATTTGTATACATTATTTTTGCACACATCTAACTTTTCAGTTATAATTTTTCATACTGTAAAAGATCAAAGCTAAAATTCAACTATTAAATAGAAATTTAAGAATTCTACGGGAAAAATCCATTTTTTGCGGATATCCCATGTTACGGACGGTAGAAGCGCTCTCAAAAGATAGATCGTATCAGCTGATACGGTATCCGGGTTTGCGACTTTCATTAATTGAAGCAATAGTCAAATACTTCATCATTTTCGAGATAAAGTTGATATTTCGCTTAAAGCAACAAACCGAATTCAAGCCGAACGTATTCAGTTCAAATTCTAACCGTAGTCGATTATGGTTCGTTAATTAACCGACAACAACAGCAGCTCATACCATACTTGCTGTGTTAAAGAAATGGGTGTTCTCTTTTGCTTTTGGATAACTAAGGACTACATTATCTACAAGTAAAATATCTGAAGTAAATAATTAGCGTACTCGTGAAGACACTCTTACCTCACATTGACTGCCATAACGCCAGCGCCAATAAACATTTTAGCCTTGAAGCGTAGTGTAGAATCAGCTATTGCATAAACAATTTAGATGCAAAACCTTACTCGGTGTACATATTTCTATATAAGGCGGGAACAGGAACAATTACAACAACTTTTAAGGTGACTCCAGGGATCTTCAAGTGCAACATACTGCGAAAACTAAAGTACGATACGGTGACAAAAACTCGGCCGTCAATTATCAATGTAAAAATAAACACATTTTCGGTTTAAATTTCGCTTCCAATGAAATTACTAAAACAAAAATATTCTACAAGTACCTTAGAAAGTCCTTTTTTTCGAGTTCAAAAGGTCTAATGCGAGTTTTTCACCCACCTAGAAACTCGCAATCATTCTAATTAATTTTGGCTATGTGATTTTGTAAAAGTTTTGTGGAGCATATGACATCGCTCCAAACTCATTCTAAAACATCTGATTTGTTTTTTAATAAAGTTACGTAGAGGTATGATAAGAAAATATTCACCAGATATGCTCCATGTAACCTTTTCTGTTCCCTGAACTAAAATATAACACATCAAGGTTCGATTAAGACCTTAATGAAATTCACCGAAGAATCTAAAGTGCATTACAACTAAAAGCTATACAAATTTAAAATTAAATTGAAGCTAATAATAAAGTTAACAGAAATGTTATTTTATTTTTCACTTTTCATTTAAATTCCATGAGTTCTTATTTTGTCAATAAAACAGAGCGGATCTTCATTACTAAAGCTCTAAATTTAATGTCATCTGTTTGTACCAGATGAGAGAGGCATATTTGCAGCTTGCTTTTAAATTTTACGTTATATATATCTGAATAATTACAACATTTTAACAACAAAATAAATGAATTACTGAAAAACGAACTCTCAAAAAAATGCAGTAAATATTTTAAGTGTGCAAAATTCACTTAGCCTACTTTGATTTTTCGTGCCTAGATTAGTATATAAAAATAATAAGTAAAGAATTTTGGTCAAAACGTAGAAAAATAAGTAACTAAAATACTAAAATGTTATTTTCCATTTTTAAATATAAAAAAGAAGACCCGATTCGTCACTACGTTGCCCTATTCACAAAATATTAGAAGTTACAAATTAATTAAATGCAAGCGAGTATGTTTCTAATCTAAAACTCAATGTATCTCTCCGTATATTTTGCTTTTATACTATGTTTGTTCGATTCGTCAGTCTCCAACTTCTAAAAATTTTATAAGAGCTACTAAAGTCGACTTTAGCCAAGGAAGTTAGTTTGATTTCTGGTAAAAAACGACAGGATTTCTTAAACAATAATTTACAGTTATAATTTACCTACATACAAATATAGGGCGCTGTTTTAATTCAAAACACAACAGTCTCAGAATATATTTTACTATATTATATTAAACAACTTGAATATATTCCTACAGCTATACACAGTAAGAAGAGTGTAGCCTTTATCTATTAAATCAATAAATAATAATATATACACTGGTATTTATTTAGTTATGCATATACATATATATGTATGTATACATGTGCGTTTGCAATTCATAAGTGAACTTTAGAGGCAAGTTTGAAAGACGTAAACGAGCCCATTAAACGATTTCTTTCCACTCGTGCATGTAATCATGGCAATGATTGATGTGCACAGAGCGACGTCGGTTGGCCACTGCACGTTGCACGAATCTATATCATGTTTGTATGTATGTGTATAGAATTACCAATAAATGCATATGCCAACCGGCATACAAATGCAAATCCAACCGATAACTAGTTACAATAACAAAAATAAAAACTTACAATAACAACAACAAATACATATAAATCAAAGAAAACGGTTGTAAGAAAAAACGGGTGCAAGTGTAACACTGGTGCTTACACAGAAGCTTAATTTCATCAGGCACTCAAAGGAATTCAGCTATTAATCTGTCAAATGCAACTTGGCATACAACAGCAGCAACAACACGCTGACACTGATGCACACGCATTGCAATAAATGGATGCAAACACGCACAACGTGCTACTAAGCAGCACATACATGCATACATATACATATCTACTAGTATATCTACATACATATATGTATGTGTGGATATATTTACATGAGTGTATGGAAAAAAAGACAAAACTGCATTGCAACAAACCATGTAGAAATGAAGCAAATAAAAAACAGCAAGTAAGGAAGAGCTAAGTTCGGGTGAAGCCGAACATTTTCTACACTCGCAATTGCTAAGAATTGTCGACGCTTAAAATACATATTTCGAGTTATCTGTAAAACATTATTATGAAAATTTTTTGAATTGGGTGTAGGCGACCTAGAGGTACATATGGACCGATTTCGTCCATTTTTGTATCAACCGCATTTTACTATATACACATTGAGTGTAGCATTTTTGTTTAATTTGATTAAGACTTTTCTATCTCTGAACGATTAATATAGTTAGCTGTGTTCGATTCGCTGGAGTGTAACACTTGGCGAATCGAACAAAATATAACAGATGCTCAAATAAACGGGCAACACTTGTGGTGCAACCCTGCGCTAACATGTCTACTGACGCAAGCGTAATAGTGTTATGATGTTTTCTTAGTGCCGTTTCACATTGGGACGCAAAAGAGTCTCATACCAGTTTATTGTGGGTGAGGGGACGACGAGGAAAGACGAAGGGACCGTGCCACTCGTGTTCGGGTGGCACGTTTTGTGTTCTTGTTCGTAACAGCTCGCTGCTACCCTTTTCAGCATTCCTTTTCACTTTCAAATCCTTTGAATGGTTGCAAGAGCGCTCGGTTTCAAATGAATTCGATCGCAAATTTGAGTTCTGTTATCTATTTTTGTATGTAATATGCAAATACGTATGCATAGAATAATAGAAATATTATGACAAATTGTAAATAAGGAGAAAATTAAGATATAGATTATGGAGTAAA